CATTCAGTGAGACAGTCTGTTAGCCAACTAATTAGTCACTCAATCAATCAGTCCGTCAATTAGCCAATTAATTCATTCAGTCATTCAGTCATGCGGTCAATCGATCAATCAGTCTAACACTTAATCAATCAATCAGTCAGTCAATCAATCAAGCAGTCACACAATCAGTCAATCAATCAGATATTCAGTCAGACTATCAGCCAATCAATTCAATCATGCGCTCAATCGATCAATCCGTCAAGCAGTTAATCAATCAATCAATTTGATAGTCAGCCAAACAATCATATAGTCAGTCATGCAGTCAATCGATCAATCAATTAAGCAGTTTTTCAATCAATCAGTCAGTCAATCATTCACTTATGTTTATATTTTATAAGTAAATAGATTTAGTACAGTAATTTTCTCCAAGTGTAACCAATGAAGTCAACTTGACTAAATCCCGTTTATTTTCAGGTGTATGCAGCAAAGGCGCGCCGGAGCCGCGTTCCGGGCTACGTGGACATCCGACATATTCGCGTCTGACGCGCACCATGAGCCATGTGAGCAATGGGCGCTTGTCGTCGCCCAACTCGGGCAGTCCCTGCTCGGGCAGCCCGCTGACAGCCCAGGCGGTGGCCATCAATGGCGGCGCCGCATATCGCTCCAAGCTAACGAAACGGGGCTTCAACTATGCCCAGGCACAGCTGACGCCGCCGCCGGCACTACGGCTGCGCCACGGCCTGGAGAAGTCGAAGAGCTTTGTGTCCAACAGCCTGCAGCAGCAGCTGATGCAGCGCCGCCAGCTGCTCCGCCGGGCGCAGGGCGGTGGCCCGCCCCTGGCAGGCGCAGGACCGACTTGTGAGCTGCAGCTGCAACAGAGCTGCGATGAGAGCAGCGTTCAGTCGCTCGGCGTGCCAGGAGGTGGAGCTGGCGAGGAGGAGGAGCCGCACAGTCTGGCCTCTAGCTGCTCGCAGCTGGAGCAGCTGAGCATTAAGAACAAACAGCTGAGCCTGAGCGCCTGCTACGGCAACATCTTCCATCAGCTGGTCTTCCTGGATCTCTACGACAATCAGATCGAGCGCATCGCCAATCTGGATGGATTACCCTCGCTCTCGGTGCTGCTGCTGGGCAAGAATCGCATTACGGACATTGGCGGCCTGGCCGCGCTGAAGGGGACGCTGCGCGTGCTGGATCTGCACGGCAATAAGCTGACCAGCCTGGGCAGCCGGATTAGCTGCCTGCATCAGCTGAAGTCCCTCAATCTGGCCGGCAATCAGATCCGGCAGATCAATCAGCAGGATTTCCACGGGCTGCGCTGCCTGCGCGAGCTGAACCTAAAGCGCAACAAGCTGCGGCGCATCAATGGCTTCCAGCATCTGCTGGCGCTTGAGCGGCTCTGGCTGTGCCACAACGAGCTGCATCGCGTCGACGACATGGCCAGCATTGCGCGTGCCGTCCGCCTGCTGGAGGTGACCATCGAGAATAATCCCGTCTCGTTGGCCGGAGATTGTGTGTCGTTTCTGGTGTCGCATTTGCCGCTGCTGCAGTCGCTCAGCCAGATGCCTATCACGGAGCAGGTGCGTCGCGCCGCCCTGGCCTGGCGCCAGCACAAGGAACAGGCGCTGGCGACGCACGGCAGCCGGCGCGAGGAGGTCATCTCGAATGCGCGCACCAACTGGGAGCTGCTTCGATCGCAGCAAACGCTGGGCAGGCCCAAGGGCAAGCTGACCAGCGAGCTGGCCAAGATCAATGAGTCCAACGAGGCGGCCGTGGCCGAGGAGCCGGAGCAGACCCGGGACGAGCTCGCCGAGCTGCAGGCACTATTCAAGCTGCCGCTTATCGCTCAGCAGAAGCCCAAGCTGGAGGAGGAGGACGCCTCATCGACGGCCTCCAGTCTGGGACCCAATGTGGACTCCTGCTCCAGCTGCTATAGCACGGACAACGAGGAGGCCAGCCGGCAGCTTAAGTTATCCCAGCCACAGATCGACGAGAACAGCAACAAGCTGAGTGCAGCTCCTCTAGCTCCTCCTCCTTCTGCTCCTCCTCCATCCGCCTCTTCCACGCCGCCCGCTCTGACCCTGACGCCGCCCGCTTCCGGCACGCCTGTGCCAGCTGCCACGCCCACGCCAACACCACCGCCGTCCACTGTGACACTGCCCTTGCCCGCAGCTGCTGCCACGCCCACCAACAGCGCCCGTCCCGGCAGCAGCAGCAGCAAGCAACGCCTGCGCCAGACGACGCCCATCGCGCAGCTGGGCCTGCAGGTAAACCGGGGCAATCCACCCGGCTGCAAGCGCTACATGACCGGCAGCCTGGTGCGCTCCCAGACGATCAGCAGCAGCAGCGCCAGCAACAGCAGCAGTTCCAACAGCGCGGGACGCGCCAAGCAGAGCCACAACAATGTGGCCAACGTTGTCTCTCTGATGCCGCCGCAGAGCAAGGCGGTGCCAGGAGCTGCTGCTCCTGCATCACCAGCCACGCCCACGCCCATGACCGTGTCCAAGCCGAGCGCCGCGGAGCGTGAGCGAGAGCAGGGCGGCGATTATCTAATAGAGATCTGCGGCAGATACCTGAATATCTATGGGCAGGGCGCGCTGCGTTTTATCGACAAGCAATGGAATCCGGCCAAGGCAAACGATGTGCACACCCTGAACTTTAGCTACATCAATTTCAACAGCATTGTCTGCATGCTGGGCAGGATTAAGATACGTTTCCCGCATGCCGAGCATTTCGTGTTTCGTGAGACGAACATCATGAGCTTGGGCCAGCTGAATGCGCTGGCCGAGCTGCAGGGTCTCAGCTCGCTGCTGATCGATGCCGAGGGCAATGCCATCACGGGCAAGCCGGACTGGCGCGCCTATGCCATCTACAGACTGTCCCATTGGGGCCTCAAGCAGCTCAATGGCCAGGACGTGAGCGAGGAGGAGACGGAGCAGGCGAATGCCATGTACACGGGTCTGTCCAATCTGGTACTGTGGTCCATGCCCGAGGGCATGCTGCAGCCGCTGTTGGCGCGGCTGCGCCTGGACGAGAGCTGCACGGCCAGCAAGCTGTCGCCCAAGGAGTGGCTGCTGCGGCCCGAAAACAAATCTCTGCGCCTGGTCGTCGGCAAGGAGGCGCTGCAGTGGAAAAAGACGACAACCACGACAACTGGTGTGGAGGGTGGTCACACTGCGATGGCACCCAGTGCCCGGGATCGAGGCAGGCAGCATTTCGCGCTGCTGCTGGAGAATACTTGCAACGCGGTCGAGAAGCTGCACAAACTGGAGACGCTCTGGCCGAGCATGCTGCTGGACATTGTGCGCAATACGCTGCTCGACTATGCCCAGCTGGATGTCTATCTGCGCAATCTGATGGCCGAGCTGATGAAGTGACACGGAGCAGGCCAACTGCAAGGCAGGGGCCAATTTGGAACTGTGATTGAAGATCTAGAGTCCTGCAAACGTTAATTCAGACTCGGATACTCAAGCGAACCGACAGGCTCGAACCGACGTTCGATCTGCCATACAATACATTCGACTTAAACGTGTTCGACTGCAACATGTTCGAATGCAACACTCACGCTTAGTTCGAGCCCGAACGAAATGTTTGAGCTTGGAGCTCGATTACCGCACCGAATATTTGTTGGAGTATCTAAAAACGTTTTGGTAGACTCGATGAAGTGCTCAACTGGAACATGTTCGAGCTAAACACAAAAATGATTAGTTCGAACCCAACCGAGATGTTCGAGCTTGAAGCTCGATTACCGCACCGAACATTTCTTTGAGTATACGTAAAGCAGGACTCTTCTTCAGGCTTAAACCCACTAGAAGGAATTCCCAGTTGGAGCAGTGTTGGCTCACGTCAGGTTTGTAGATGTTTTGTTTTAGACTTAAATGCTTTTAGTGGAGAATTGGCACCCAAAAAACAGTTAACCTTATTCCCATGATCCTAGGCATTTATCCCCAAAATAACCCCAATATAACCAATTCTTGTAAAGCAACAAGCCTGCAAATATATAGTCCAATTTTTATATATATTTAACATTAAACTTAAATCTGAAATTACTAAGATAACGAAAAATAGTACACTTTGGATTACCAAAGATATGAATACTCTTGCAGAATTACTATTGTTTAGTATTTCTCTTTTGTTCAAAGATCTATCGATTGTCCCTATACGATTTTATTTTATAATAGATTTATATAAGATTTAGAAAAAAGAACAGGAAGGAAAGCCAATCTTCGCCATTCGCAGATGAAATACCCTTTGTAGACATGGGGCTTACAGTTTTTCTGGGTTTGGGAACGACTTCTTATAAAGATAAAGAGAAAGAATCTTAAAAATAACTAATTCATTCTTTGACCGATTCTTCCTATATGATATAGATATTCGAAATGGAAAAGATTTTGTAAACAGCACAGGGAAACTTATTTAGTCAAGATATCTTGAAAACTTATAAGCTCTTCCATTTTTAACCGATCTTTCCCATAGCAGCTATATGATAATTGTCTGATCCGGCCATCTCCAAGACATGAACTGCTCGCAGTAAAAAGTTGGACCCCAGCAACGTCTTATTACGATAGCTTTTTAAAGTCACAGACTAATTTGCAAAGAAACAAGGACTATTCGACTCGACTGTCACAAATAGATCAAGAATAATAGAATAAAATGTTTAATACAAGGTTCAGAGATATTTTTTAATATATGCGTTACGCATTTAAGAAAATGATGCTACTCTCTTTAAGAGTTTGCCAAGAAAGAAGTTTTGATTGGGGCTGCCAAAGATTGAATAGCATATCAGATATACTATATGTTATATATATACAGATTGTTCCTATATGTTATAATGGTGCGATGCCATTTGGATTTAGCTATAGCTATATCCTGCTGATTTGACTTCGTATAATTTAAAAAGGAAACGAAACAGAAGAGGGTTCCGATACAGCCTGAAAGGACGTATGCAAAGATTCATGACGATAGCTTTAAAACTGAGAGACTAGTTCGCAGACTGACGGATGGACAGACGGACATGGCTATATCGACTCGGCTGTAGATACTGATCAGGCATATATATACTTTATGGGGTCGGAGATGTCTCCTTTTATGCATTACACATTAGAAAGGTTATAAAAAGATATTTCATACAAAATCTGTGTTCCTTTGCCGTAAATTCCCTTAACAGCAATATATTATAGTAATGCGATTGGGTCAGTATACAAATATATAGCTGCTGGCAATAAAAATATAAATGCTTTAAAATAAGCGTAGTTTACATAGAAGCAGACGGACAAATGTACATAACTGTTAGCTCTTATCGGGAATTAGACGGACAAATGTATATAAATATTAACTCTTTATCAGGAAGTTGACTTTCCCTGCATAAACAATTTACAATACCCTCTGCAAGAGCATAACTAAAGTCGTCTCGGCTTACACAAAGGTCTATCTCAAGCTAGCCCTAAAATTCACCTACTCAGCTGTGACATAACTTCTTTAAGGAAATGCAATTTCCATGCAACATAAACTAGGCTAATCTACCCTTAACATTTGGTTGTCCCTTGGCTATTCGGCGTGCAGCTTGTCCGCATCGCTGCTGCTGCTCACTGGCTTCTGGGTCTTTGCCAGCTTGTCCACGTAGATGTTGAGTATGGCCTCGATGCCCGGGTAGAGCACAAAGTTGGTGGTACGTATTTTCTTGTCAATCAGATACGAGGTGACCGAGTGCGTGTTAAAGGCAATGTCCATGGCGTCGCTGTGGCTGACCTGGTCGAGCTGATTCCGCGCGATCTTAATGACGCAGTTCTCGTAGCCGTTGACTTTGATGCTCAGATCGAGCTGGTAGGCGGCGTCCACGTCTGGCCAGCGCTGTGCCAGCACATCCTGCGTCCACTGGAGCTCTGCGCTGGCGGCATTCAGACGACCGGGCACCGCCACAAACTTGGACCACAGCTCGGAGGCAAAGTGCGGTGCCATCGGCGCAAGCATGATGATCTGCGCGGCCAAGGCGCGCTCAAACTGTTTGCCCTGCCGCTGAATGTGTTTGGGCGTGCGCTGGAAATTACAGAGGCAGATTATTAGGATAAATAGAGAAGAGAGTTGCTGGACTCACCCGTAGCGAATTGGTGAGACCCTGCATCTTGGAGATGGCCACACTCAACTGATGCGCATGGCGATAGTTGAAGGTGGCGCCTTTCACATAAAAGTTGCGTGCATCGAACAGCTTGGCGTCCTCGGCCAGAAAGGCCTCGCTGCCCGTGTCCACCAGGTCCGTTGTGGGCGCCTCGCGTGCCGCTCGAAACTCCTCCACGGTGAGCCACAGGCGCTTCTGCCAGTTAAGTATGCCCGGAAAGGCTGAGAGGAAAAACCCGGACAAGATTAGCTATATCCATGTATAAGAAAATATTACTCACTGGCGCTGGACCAATTGCGATGCGAGGTGGGCGCCACATCGGCCAGGATGATCAGGCGCGTCGTGTCCGTGCCGTACTCGTTGAACATGTCGTCCGGTTCGACGCCATTCAGTTTCGACTTGGACATCTTTTCCCAGCTCATGACCACCGGCTCTTTGGTTGCCTTGAGCAGCGCTTGATTCTTTTTGGCATTAACAATCTCCACTTCCGGCTCGCGCACATAGCGTCCGCTGCCCTTCACACGAAAGGACCGACCCATGACCATGCCCTGGACGAGCAGGCGCGAGAAGGGCTCCGTTGTGGGCGACAGGCCGTAGCTGTGCAGAAAGTGGTTCATAAAGCGGGCGTAGTAGAGATGCAGCACGGCGTGCTCCTTGCCGCCAATGTACAGATCTACGGGCATGAAGTGCTGCACCAGCGCAGTATCAAAGATTGCATTCGCATTGTGCGCGTCCAGATAGCGCAAATAGTACCAGGAGCTGTCCACGAACGTGTCCATGGTGTCCGTTTCCCGTTGCGCCCGCGGCTCGCCGCATTTTGGGCATTCGCAGCGCAGCGCATCATTGCCAGCATCGCGCGGCGGCAACGTTACCGGCAGCTGTTGCTCGGGCACGGGCACTGCGCCGCATTTGGGACAGTGCACAATGGGTATGGGCGTGCCCCAATAGCGCTGGCGCGAAATGAGCCAATCCTGCAGCTTAGAGGAGACGCGATAGCCGCCCACATTGAGTCGACTGGCCGCCTGCAGCACCTCTTTGCGCAGCTGCTCCCAGTTGCCGGGATTGATGTGGGCCTCTTCCCTGCCAGAAATGCCGACAGCCCGCCCGAGGCTGTCCCACAATTCGCGATCCTCGGCACGGAAACTGGGCGCTGCCAGGTAAACATCAAAGTGTGCGGGAAATGCGGACTCATCGTTAAACAGAACCGGAAGTATGGTGTGCGCAAAGGGATTCTCCACGCTGAGCTGATCCGCATCGGGTAATTGCGATAGAAAGTGTTTGCTGCGGAGCACAAGGAATGCATGCGGATCCTTCAGATGCTCGGGATTGGCAGTCCAGACGCGCAGCAGATTCGATGCAGAGGTGGGCAGCATAAAGGCGTAACCATCGCATTCGCCGATCCAATGCCGCTGCAAGTTTATGATATCTCGCCAGTCGCGCAGCCGTGGATCGTCCAGGCCCTCCAGCAGCTGTTTGGCAAAGGCAGTCGTGCGTATAAACCATTGTTTGAGCAGTTTCTTTTCCACTTTGGCGCCGGAACGCCAGGAGCAGCCATTGGCGTCCACCTGCTCATCGGCCAACACGGTTTTATCCACGGGATCCCAGTTGACCAGCGCCTCGTTCTGGTAGGCTAGCCCGTGCTTGTGCAGCATCAGAAACAAGCTCTGCGTCCACCTGTAATACTGCGGACTGCTCGTGGACAGCTCGTGCGCCCAGTCAAAGGAGCAGCCCAAGCGCTCCAATTGTTGCTTCATCTGGGCAATATTCTGTTGTGTCCAATCGGCGGGCGCCACGCCGCGCTGGTTGGCCGCATTCTCCGCGGGCAGGCCAAACGAATCCCAGCCAATGGGCTGGAATACATTCTTGCCGCACATGCGCTGGAAACGTGCGACCGCATCGCTGATCGTGTAGACGCGCACGTGGCCCATGTGCAGATTGCCCGAGGGATAGGGAAACATGGAGAGCACATAGTATTTGTTTGTGGCCTGTTTGGTGTCAAAGTGCGCGTTATTCGTGTGTTCTTTCCAGTGCGTTTCGATGCGTTGTTTCACCTCGTTTGTTAGCTCCAATTGCTAAAAAGAAATCTATTTATTTAGTGCAAAGTTTGTTTTACCGGCTTACCCCGCTGCCCGTGCAGCTTTGAGTCAACAGTCTCCGGCACCAGTTGATTTGAAATCCAGGCAAAATGCGTTTGTGCCTCAGAGCTTGCATATTTTTTGTGTTTTAATTGATAAAAGTTCACATAAACAGCAACTTTTTCAATTTAGCAAGTATTAAATAACAAATCAAAATGCAATGTTCAGAGGCTGCAGCTGTTCAATAACGCAGTGTTGCCAATCATCTTGGCGGGAAGCACTTTTGACTGAGTGGCAGCGCTAAACACAGAGTTGTATTTGAGCAAAGCTTTTCGCGATTTTTTTCACCTATCTGGTAACCATGACGTTGCACTTTCGCCATTAACTGCAGACGTCATTTTTCACAGGGCGTGCAAATTTTTAAGTGGTGTGAAAAAGTTAATATTTAATACATAAAAGTATTCAATAAAGTGCAAAAATAGTTGAAAACGATGGGCGACTCGCTGGATAACACCGACACATCGGTGGATCCGGCCGTAAACCTGTCGATTGCCAACTATGATGCATTTGCAAATTACTTGCGCAAGGCTGTCACCATTTTATTACCGGAGGAGGATGTTGTGCCGGACTCATTAAATAATGCATTGGACGATCCAGTAAATCAGGAGACTATTCGCAAGTTTCTGTCTGATCCCCAAGTGCAGGCGCTATATGTTCAGCGAAATTGCATTAAAGGTAAGAAATAAAATGTTTTTTTTTCATTCGAACAAAATGGCGTCGCCGGCCCGCATGGCAAATTTCATAGAAAATGTAAAGTGTGTGTTACTCTTACAATGAACATAGTTTTAGTCTACAATTGCATTTTTTTTTAAAGTGCAAGTTGCCTGCGCAACATTATTGTTAAAAATCAATTGGCAATTGTCTTTTTTCATATTTTCGGTGATTGCTAGTGCGCATGACATCATGCCAGCTGAATCAGAAGTAGCTTTCATGGTAATGAAAAAACAGGTTGTTGCGTGTAGAATATGTGGGTGACGTCACTACATACCCAATCTGTATAAAAGATTTAAATTGTCATGAAAATGTTTAGATTAATTAGCTTATAGGATTTTATACGAATTATGTCAAACAGTAGTATTTTAAGATCGTTTAAATATGTTTAATATGCATATGTGTTGCAGTGAATACTACGCTAAGGCGATAGTGACGTCACGTCGGCAAGTTTTCAAGTTACTTTAACAAACTTCTAGTTTAGTTGACTATGACGGCTGCGCAGTGCTGCCAACCTGTTGCACGGTTAGTGTGGCCAGACGCTGCGCAGCTTGCCGGTCACGACTTGCAAAAAAAACCAAACGACAGCTGTTTTTCGATTTGTTTGCGGAAGCAACGTGACCTTGGGCCGGTTGTATGTACATTTCATTGACTTGCGACTTTGAATGCTGCCCGCATCAGGGTCAGGCGATGTGGGAGCAACGCACGCTCAAGGTTCAGACCTTGAATGCACGAATTTTGAAGGTTTCACCTTGGCCGCTGAAATTTCGAAGGCTGTCACCTTGGTAATGAATTTGTGTCAATGGCATTGCGGTCGCGTCATGGCCAGATAATAATTGTGCATTGACATAAATGTGGTGGCTGAAGGGGAAAACTTGATAATAGGTCGAATGTTTGTTGGTTCTCATTATCGGCCGCCTCTAATTTTATTGCATAGAGGATGACAGCGAACAACCGGCGGAAGGAGAGGAGGAGAAGGAGCAGGTGACTTATCAAATCAGCAACGATGTGCACTTCACCAACAGCCGCATGGCATCGCTGGCCTGCATCAAGCGTGGCGTAGTCGTCGAAGCGGACAAGTCTATTCACTCGCAGCTGCGATTGATTAATTTCTCGGACGGCTCGCCCTACGAGACGCTGCATGCGTTCATCAGCAAATCGCTGGCGCCGTACTTCAAGTCGTACGTCAAGGAGTCTGGACGCGCTGATCGCGATGGCGACAAGATGGCGCCATCAGTGGAGAAGAAGCTGGCAGAGCTAGAGATGGGCCTGCTGCATTTGCAGCAGAACATTGACATACCGGAGATTACGCTGACTGCCCATCCGATAGTTAACCAGGTCATACGCAAATGCGCCGATGAGAACCACAAGGCCAAGGTGGTGGACTTTGGCGACAGGGTTGAGGACTCGTCTTTTCTCAATCAGCTGCAAAACGGCGTGAATCGCTGGATTACCGAAATCAAGAAAGTCACCAAGCTGAATCGTGACCCCGGCTCCGGCACAGCGCTACAGGTAAAGAAATTCTCAGCAAATTGGTTTTGGCAGGTGCTAATAAATGTGTTATTTCCAGGAAATCTCGTTCTGGCTGAATCTGGAGCGTGCTTTGTACCGCATTCAGGAGAAACGCGAGTCTCCAGAGGTGGCACTTACACTGGACATACTCAAGCATGGCAAGCGCTTCCATGCAACTGTTTCTTTTGACACGGACACAGGCCTCAAGCAGGCGCTGGCCACTGTGGCCGATTACAATCCGTTGATGAAAGACTTCCCCATTAACGATCTGCTGTCGGCAACGGAGCTTGAGAAGATTCGACCAGCTGTGCAGCAGATTTTCTCACATTTGCGCAAAGTGCGGAATACCAAGTATCCAATCCAGCGCTGCCTTAAATTGATTGAGGCCATCTCGCGGGATTTGTCGCAGCAGCTGCTCAAGGTGCTGGGCACCCGCCGGCTAATGCACATTCCCTTCGATGAATTCGAGCGTGTAATGAACCAGTGCTTCGAGATATTCAGCTGCTGGGACGATGAGTACGACAAGCTTCAGGGTCTGTTGCGTGATATTGTGAAGAAGAAGCGCGACGAGCATCTGAAAATGGTCTGGCGCGTTTCCCCAGCCCACAAGAAGCTGCAGACACGCATGGAGCATATGCGTAAGTTCCGGCGACAGCACGAACAGCTGCGCACCGTTATTCTACGTGTGCTGCGACCCACCAAGCAGGCGGCCAACGATGATGGCAACGCCGTGGAAACTAAGCAGCCGTACAGCCTGGATGCCGCCGATGCAAATGCCATCGAAGAGGTCAACTTGGCCTATGAAAATGTCAAGGAGGTGGACTGCTTGGACATAACCAAGGAGGGCTCCGAAGCCTGGGAGGCTGCTGTCAAGCGCTACGAGGAGAAGATCGGTTGGTGAAACTATTTAAGCAATTTACAACTAAATAATTAAAACATTTTCTCTGTGCCTTGCAGATCGCGTGGAGACGCGCATCACGGCGCATTTGCGCGACCAGCTGGGCACAGCAAAGAACGCCAACGAGATGTTCCGCATCTTCTCACGCTTCAATGCGCTGTTTGTGCGTCCGCACATCCGTGGCGCCATTCGCGAGTACCAGACGCAACTGATACAGCGTGTCAAGGACGACATTGAGGCGCTGCACGAGAAGTTCAAGGTGCAGTATCCGCAGAGTAAAAGCTGCCGCTTGTCCTCGGTGCGTGATCTTCCACCGGTGGCGGGCTCCATTATCTGGGCGCGTCAAATAGACAACCAGCTGACCATGTATCTGAAGCGTGTCGAGGATGTGCTGGGCAAGGGCTGGGAGACGCATATCGAGGGCCAGAAACTTAAGGCCGATGGTGACAGCTTCCGCGCCAAGCTATCCATCTCGGACGTGTTCCACGAATGGGCACGCAAGGTGCAGGAGCGCAACTTTGGCAGCTCCGGCCGCATTTTCACCATCGAATCGACACGCTCGCGCGTTGGACGCGGCAATGTTTTGCGTTTGCGTGTTAACTTTCTGCCAGAGATCATTACGCTGGCCAAGGAGGTGCGCAACATTAAGAACCTGGGCTTCAGGTGAGCGAATTATAATTTATTACAAGACAATATTTCATTTGGTATTTAATTGCCAATTTCTTTCTTATAGGGTTCCACTAACCATTGTCAACAAAGCTCACCAGGCCAACCAGATTTATCCCTATGCAATATCCCTGATTGAAAGCGTTCGCACCTACGAGCGCACCTTGGAGAAGGTAAAATATTCTGACTTACACACTGCACAATTACACCACCAATACCATCTACACACATTCACCATTACCACAGCTGGAGCAATTGCTCCGTTTAACTCTCGTTTATGCATATGTCTATTGCACCCAACTTTTAACTGCTCTCTTGTTATGCCCTAGCAGAGGCATTTGTAATTATGTTTTGAAATATGTCTCGCATATTCTTGATCTGACACAACTGTGTAGTCCATCTGTGCTGTCCATCTGTCCGTTTCTAGTTCCGTGCAAGTTAGTTTTGTGCAACTGTATGTAAATAATTACATATATAAACTCTTACTGGTTGGCTTCGTATAAAGACATACATCGGTCGAAATTTCCCACATCCATAACTCGGCCAAAATTCAACCGATTTTCACGAGGGTTAGATTTTTATTCATGGCCTGGCCTCTAAAAAAATCTGGCATTTAAACCTGGCCACACATTTTTTGGTCGAAATTCATGCTAAAATCTTACCCCTAGGATTCGGATATAGACATGGATCAAAATCTCTCACCTCCATAAATCAGTCAAAACTCAACAGATTTTCATGAGGGTTAGCTTTTTATTCATGGCCTGGCCTCTTAAAAAATCTGGCATTTAAATCTGACTACACATTTTTTGGTCGAAATTCATGCCAAAATCTCACCCCTTGGTTGTGTACATAGACATACAAAGGTCGAAATTTCCCACATCCATAACTCGGCCAAAATTCAACCGATTTTCACGAGGGTTAGCTTTTTATTCATGGCCTGGCCTCTTAAAAAATCTAGCATTTAAATCTGACTACAAATTTTTTGGTCGAAATTCATGCCAAAATCTCACCCCTTGGTTGTGTACATAGACATACAAAGGTCGAAATTTCCCACATCCATAACTCGGCCAAAATTCAACCGATTTTCACGAGGGTTAGCTTTTTATTCATGGCCTGGCCTCTTAAAAAATCTGGCATTTAAATCTGACTACACATTTTTTGGTTGAAATTCATGCCAAAATCTCACCCCTTGGTTGTGTACATAGACATACATAGGTCGAAATTTCCCACATCCATAACTCGGCCAAAATTCAACCGATTTTCACGAGGGCTAGCTTTTTATTCATGGCCTGGCCTCTTAAAAAATCTGGCATTTAAATCTGACTACACATTTTTTGGTCGAAATTCATGCCAAAATCTCACCCCTTGGTTGTGTACATAGACATACATAGGTCGAAATTTCCCACATCCATAACTCGGCCAAAATTCAACCGATTTTCACGAGGGTTAGCTTTTTATTCATGGATTTCTCTCTTAAATAATCTGGCATTTAAATCTGACCACACATTTTTCGGTCGATATTTATGCCAAAATCTTACCCCTAGGATTCGGATATAGACATGGGTCAAAATCTCTCACCTCCATAAATCGGTCAAAACTCAATAGATTTTCATGAGGGTTGGCTTTTTATTCATGGATTTCCCTCTTAAAAAATCTGGCATTTAAATCTGACCACAAATTTTTTGGTCGAAATTCATGCCAAAATCTCACCCCTTGGTTGTGTACATAGACAGACATAGGTTGAAATTTCCAACATCCATAACTCTGTCAAAATTCAACCGATTTTCATGCGGGTTGGCTTTTTATTCATGGATTTTCTCTTTTAATAATCTGGCATTTAAACACACTGGACACACATTTTTTGGTCGAAATTCATGCCAAAATCTTACCCCTAGGATTCGGATGTAGACATGGATCAAAATTTGTCACCTCAATAAATCGGTCAAAACTCAACCGATTTTCACGAGGGTTAGCTTTTTGTTCATGGCTTGGCCTCTAGATCAATCTAAATCTGGGTTGGCCTTTGTTTTTCTTTTATGTTATACGTACCACGGGCAAGGCCGGGTATACCCGCTATTATATATATATATTAAGAGGAGAATAAACAGATCCGTGTGTCTGGTTTTTTTTATATGTATAGAAGGAAGCTACAAGATCCTAGTCGGGCACTTCCGACTAAAATACGCTACCTTAACCTACTTTGTGTAAAAGGACATATGCATAAAGTATATTTATTTCCTATGGGAAAATAAGCTTTATTTTTGCATTGCTTTGCACCTGACGTGCAGCTTGAATTTTGTTATTGACACCACACAACGAGACACAATCCACAATCCACATCTCACATCTTATCACTTACATAGACAGTACAACCTTTTTAAATCAACCAAAAAACAACCAACAACCTTTCTTTCATGCAGCTTAATAATAGGAGTCTAGCACTAAATTCAGTATTCAAGGTAGTGTTGTTTGTGCCGCTCCAAAAGTAATTGCTATTGTTTATTATTATTGTTATTGTTCAAGTCCCGCATGCATTTTACGAGTCCACTTAATCCCTTAAACCATAAAGAGCATATACTCATGAGCTTTAACCTTCACACAGATCGAAGATCGCGCCAGCATTGTGCCCCTGGTCGCTGGTCTGCGCAAGGAGGTCTTGAATTTAGTCTCCGAGGGCGTGGGCCTCATCTGGGAGTCGTATAAGCTGGATCCCTATGTGCTGCGTCTCTCCGAGTGCGTGACACAGTTCCAGGAGAAGGTAAGAAACGAAATTTTAACAAAAAAAAAAAAACAATCTCTAAGTTAACACATATTCCAGGTCGACGACTTGCTCGTGGTGGAGGAGCAGCTGGATGTGGACGTGCGCTCGTTGGAAACGTGCCCGTACAGCGCGGCGACCTTTGTGGAGATACTCTCCAAGATTCAGCACGCCGTTGATGATCTGTCGCTGCGTCAATACTCGAATCTCAGTGTTTGGGTGACGCGCCTCGACGAGGAGGTGGAGAAGAAGCTAGCCCTGCGTCTGCAGGCGGGCATTCAAGCCTGGACCGAGGCCCTGACTGGCAACAAGAAGGAAGTGGACACCTCCATGGACACGGACGCACCCGCACAGCCCACGCATAAGCTGGGCGGTGAGCCGCAGGTGCAGAATGCAGTGCACGAGATTCGCATCACCAATCAGCAAATGTATCTGTATCCGTCGATCGAGGAGGCCCGCTTCCAGATCATGCAACAGTTCTTCGCCTGGCAGGCTATTGTCACCTCACAGGTGCGCCTGCAGAGCACACGCTACCAGGTGGGCCTCGAGAAGCCCGTCTCGCAAACCTATCGCAATCTGCTAACAAAGCTGCCGGAAGGCAAGGTCCTAGAGAACGCCTACGGCGCCATCGAGCACAAGATCAGCGAAGTGCGCAATTATGTGGACGAATGGCTGCGCTACCAGAGTCTGTGGGATCTGCAGGCGGATACGCTGTACGGCCGCTTGGGCGAGGATGTGAACTTGTGGATCAAGTGCCTCAACGACATTAAGCAGTCGCGCACCACTTTTGACACGTCGGACACGCGTCGCGCCTACGGCGCCATCATCATTGACTACGCCAAGGTGCAGGCCAAAGTCACGCTCAAGTATGATTCGTGGCACAAGGAGGCGCTGGGCAAGTTTGGCACACTGTTGGGTACCGAGATGACCACGTTCCACAGCAAGGTGTCCAAGTCGCGCACCGATCTCGAGATGCAGAGCATCGAAGCGGCCAGCACCTCGGATGCGGTCAGTTTTATAACGTATGTGCAGTCGCTGAAGAAGGACATGATTGCCTGGGACAAGCAGGTTGAGGTGTTCCGCGAGGCGCAGCGCATTCTGGAGCGGCAACGTTTCCAGTTTCCCAACAACTGGCTGCACGTGGACAATATCGAGGGCGAGTGGTCCGCCTTTAATGAGATTATTAAGCGCAAGGATACGGCCATTCAGACGCAGGTGGCCAGCTTGCAGGCTAAGATTGTGGCCGAGGACAAGGCCGTGGAGACGCGCACCGTCGACTTCCTCAATGACTGGGAGAAAACCAAGCCCACGGGCGGCAAGATACGTCCCGATGATGCGCTGCAGCAGCTGCAAATCTTTGAGAGCAAATACTCACGGCTCAAGGAGGAGCGCGACAATGTGGCCAAGGCCAAGGAAGCGCTCGAACTGCAGGAATCGGCTGTGCCCAACAACAGTGCCGAACGCATGAATGTGGCCCTCGAGGAGCTGCAGGATCTGCGCGGCGTCTGGAGCGAACTCTCCAAGGTATGGACCCAGATCGATGAGACGCGCGAAAAGCCCTGGCTCTCGGTGCAGCCGCGTAAGCTGCGCCAGCAGCTGGAGGCGATGATGGCGCAGCTAAAGGAGCTGCCCGCCCGTCTGCGCATGTACGAGTCGTACGAGTACGTGAAGAAGCTCATCCAGAGCTACATCAAGGTGAACATGCTGATTGTGGAGCTCAAGTCGGATGCCCTGAAGGAGCGCCATTGGAAGCAGCTAACCAAGCAGCTGCGCGTCAATTGGGTCATCTCGGATCTGACGCTGGGCCAGGTGTGGGACGTGAATCTCCAGAAGAACGAGGGCATTGTCAAGGACATCATTCTGGTCGCCCAGGGCGAAATGGCGCTGGAGGAGTTCTTGAAGCAGGTGCGCGAATCGTGGCAAAACTACGAACTGGATCTGATCAACTACCAGAACAAGTGCCGCATCATACGCGGCTGGGACGATCTGTTCAACAAGGTGAAGGAGCACATTAACTCGGTGGCCGCCATGAAGCTGTCGCCCTACTACAAGGTCTTCGAGGAGGAGGCACTCACCTGGGAGGAAAAACTGAATCGTATTAATGCCCTGTTCGATGTCTGGATCGATGTGCAGCGTCGCTGGGTCTATCTGGAGGGCATTTTCTCGGGCAGTGCTGACATCAAGACCCTGCTGCCCGTTGAGACTTCGCGTTTCCAGAGCATTAGCTCCGAGTTCTTGGGCCTGATGAAGAAGGTAACCAAATCGCCCAAGGTCATGGATGTGCTGAACATTCCGGCCGTGCAGCGTTCGTTGGAGCGTCTGGCCGATCTGCTGGGCAAGATTCAAAAGGCGCTCGGCGAGTATCTGGAGCGGGAGCGTACCTCCTTCCCGCGCTTCTACTTCGTGGGCGATGAGGATCTACTAGAGATCATCGGCAACAGCAAGAACATTGCCCGCCTGCAGAAGCACTTCAAGAAGATGTTCGCCGGCGTCGCTGCCATCCTGCTGAACGAGGAGAACAATGTCATCTTGGGCATATCATCGCGCGAAGGCGAGGAGGTGCACTTCATTAATCCGGTCTCCACCGTTGACCATCCCAAGATCAACGAATGGCTCTCTCTGGTGGAGAAGCAAATGCGTTTCACGCTCGCCTCGCTGCTGGCCCAGGCCGTGCAGGACATTAAGCAGTTCCGCGACGGCAAAATCGATCCCCAAAAGTACATGGAATGGTGTGACAAGTATCAGGCCCAAATCGTTGTGTTGGCTGCCCAAATCTTGTGGTCCGAGGACGTGGAGGCCGCCCTGCAGCAGGCCTCGGAGGGCAACGACGGCAAGCCCATGCAGCGCGTGCTGGGCAATGTGGAGCGGACGCTCAACGTGCTGGCCGATTCGGTGCTGCAGGAGCAGCCGGCTCTGCGTCGCCGCAAGCTGGAGCATCTGATCAATGAGTTTGTGCACAAGCGCACGGTTACGCGACGCCTGATCACCAATGGGGTCACCTCGCCCAAATCCTTCCAGTGGCTGTGCGAGATGCGCTTCTACTTTGATCCCCGCCAGACCGAGGTGCTCCAGCAGCTGACCATTCACATGGCCAATGCCCGGTTCTTCTACGGCTTCGAGTATCTGGGCGTGCAGGACCGGCTGGTGCAGACGCCGCTAACGGATCGCTGCTATTTGACTATGACACAGGCGCTGGAATCTCGCCTGGGCGGCTCGCCGTTCGGTCCTGCGGGCACGGGCAAAACCGAATCCGTCAAGGCCTTGGGCAACCAGCTGGGCCGCTTTGTGCTCGTCTTCAACTGTGACGAGACGTTCGATTTCCAGGCCATGGGCCGCATCTTTGTCGGCCTCTGCCAGGTGGGCGCGTGGGGCTGTTTCGATGAGTTCAATCGTCTCGAGGAGCGCATGCTCTCCGCCTGCTCGCAACAGATCCAGACCATCCAGGAGGCGCTAAAGTACGAAATGGACAGCAACAAGGAGAGCATCACTGTGGAGCTCGTGGGCAAGCAGGTGCGCGTCTCGCCGGACATGGCCATATTCATCACCATGAATCCCGGTTACGCTGGCCGCTCCAATCTGCCCGACAATCTGAAGAAACTGTTCCGTTCGCTGGCTATGACCACGCCCGATCGTCAGCTAATTGCCGAAGTGATGCTCTTCTCGCAGGGCTTCCGCTCGGCTGAGAAACTGGCCTGCAAGATTGTGCCCTTCTTCAAGCTCTGCGACGAGCAGCTGTCCAACCAGAGCCATTACGACTTTGGTCTGCGTGCGCTCAAGTCCGTGCTAATCTCGGCGGGCAATGTGAAGCGTGATCGCATCATGAAGATAAAGGAGCAGATGCGTCAGCGCGGCGAGGAGAACATCGATGAAGCTTCCGTGGCCGAGAATCTGCCCGAACAGGAGATACTCATACAGTCGGTGTGCGAAACCATGGTGCCCAAGCTGGTCGCCGAGGATATCCCATTGCTCTTCTCGCTGCTCAGCGATGTGTTCCCCAATGTGGGCTACACACGCGCCGAGATGAAGGGCCTCAAGGAGGAGATACGCAAGGTGTGCCAGGAGGATTATCTCGTTTGCGGCGAGGGTGACGAACAGGGCGCTGCCTGGATGGAGAAGGTAAGCTTGTGGCCAAAGAGTCCGTCTTATTATAAGTCCATGTCCATAACATTGATTCGCCTCACACACGCCTACTAACCACCACTACCAAAAAGGGACTCGGCTCCACTTGGGTCGACAAAGTAACTAAATTCCATTCAAAAGTCTTCGCTTCTCGACATTACTTATTAATACTTTATCCTTGTGCCCGTCCAGGTGCTGCAACTTTACCAAATCTCTAATCTGAATCATGGCCTCATGATGGTTGGCCCCTCCGGCTCCGGCAAGTCGACGGCCTGGCGCACCCTGCTCAAGGCACTGGAACGCTTCGAGGGCGTTGAGGGCGTGGCTCACGTAATCGATCCCAAAGCTATATCGAAGGAGGCGCTCTACGGTGTGCTCGATCCGAACACGCGCGAATGGACCGACGGCCTGTTTACGCACATTCTGCGCAAGATTATCGACAATGTGCGCGGCGAGATAAACAAACGGCAGTGGATCATCTTTGACGGCGATGTCGATCCCGAGTGGGTCGAAAATCTCAACTCCGTGCTCGATGACAACAAACTACTGACGCTGCCCAATGGCGAGCGCCTCTCGCTGCCGCCTAACGTGCGCGTCATGTTCGAGGTGCAGGATCTGAAGTTTGCGACGCTGGCGACAGTTTCGCGTTGCGGCATGGTCTGGTTCTCGGAGGATGTGCTCTCCACTGAGATGATATTCGAGAATTATTTGTCCCGTTTGCGCAGCATACCCCTGGAGGATGGCGACGAGGACTTTGTGGGCGTCATCAAGCCTGGCGGCGCCAAGGACAAGGAGGAAGAGGTGTCGCCCTCTCTGCAAGTGCAACGCGACATTGCCCTGCTGCTGCAGCCCTTCTTCTCGGCCGATGGCATTGTGGTGCGCACTTTGGAGTATGCCATGGATCAGGAGCATATCATGGACTTTACGCGCCTGCGCGCCCTCAGCTCCCTGTTCTCCATGCTGAATCAGTCGGCGCGCAATGTGCTCAACTTTAATGCACAGCATCCTGATTTTCCCTGCTCCGCCGATCAGCTGGAGCACTATATACCCAAGGCACTCGTCTACTCGGTGCTCTGGTCATTCGCTGGCGATGCCAAGCTAAAGGTGCGTATCGATCTGGGCGACTTTGTGCGCAGCGTGACCACGGTGCCGCTACCAGGTGCAGCCGGAGCGCCTATCATTGACTACGAGGTGAGCATGAACGGCGAATGGGTGCCCTGGAGCAACAAGGTGCCGGTCATCGAAGTGGAGACACACAAGGTGGCCTCGCCCGACATTGTGGTGCCCACGCTGGACACGGTGCGGCACGAGTCGCTGCTCTACACGTGGCTGGCCGAGCACAAGCCGTTGGGTAAGTCCAAAAGGAGAGTACAATATTTACAATATTCATGTGAATCCCTGCCTAGTGCTCTGCGGTCCGCCTGGCTCCGGCAAGACCATGACGCTGTTCTCGGCACTGCGTGCCCTGCCCGACATGGAGGTCGTGGGTCTCAATTTCTCATCGGCCACAACGCCGGAGCTGCTGCTGAAGACGTTCGATCATTATTGCGAGTACCGCAAGACACCAAACGGCGTGGTTCTCTCCCCCGTCCAGATTGGCAAGTGGCTGGTGCTCTTCTGCGACGAGATCAATTTACCGGACATGGATTCTTATGGGACGCAGCGCGTCATCTCGTTCCTGCGTCAGCTGGTCGAGCATAAGGGCTTCTATCGCGCCAACGATCAGGCTTGGGTTTCGCTGGAGCGCATTCAGTTTGTGGGTGCTTGTAATCCGCCCACAGATCCCGGTCGCAAGCCGCTCTCGCATCGCTTCCTGCGGCATGTGCCCATCATATACGTGGACTACCCAGGCGAGACGTCGCTCAAGCAAATCTACGGCACCTTCTCGCGCGCCATGCTGCGTCTAATGCCAGCCTTACGCGGCTATGCCGAGCCCCTCACCAATGCCATGGTCGAGTTCTATTTGGCGTCGCAGGATCGCTTTACGCAGGACATGCAGCCGCATTATGTGTACTCGCCACGTGAGATGACCCGTTGGGTGCGCGGCATCTGTGAGGCCATACGACCCTTGGACTCGCTGCCCGTGGAGGGTTTGGTGCGTCTATGGGCGCACGAGGCGCTGCGTCTGTTCCAGGATCGTTTGGTCGACGATTCCGAGCGCCGCTGGACCAATGAGAATATCGATCTGGTCGGACACAAGCATTTCCCGGGCATCAATCAGGAGGAGGCACTGCAAAGGCCCATCCTCTACAGCAATTGGCTGTCCAAGGATTACATGCCGGTGAATCGCGAAGAACTACGCGATTATGTGCGTGCCCGCCTCAAGGTCTTCTACGAGGAGGAGCTGGACGTGCCGCTAGTGCTGTTCGACGAGGTGCTCGACCATGTGCTGCGCATCGATCGTATCTTCCGCCAGCCGCAGGGTCATCTGCTGCTTATCGGCGTCTCCGGGGCGGGCAAGACGACGCTGTCGCGCTTTGTGGCCTGGATGAACGGCCTGTCCATATTCCAGATCAAGGTGCACAACAAATACACCAGCGAGGACTTTGACGAGGATCTGCGCTGTGTGCTGCGCCGTTCCGGTTGCAAGGACGAGAAAATCGCTTTCATTTTGGACGAATCGAATGTTCTGGACTCTGGCTTCCTGGAGCGCATGAACACGCTGCTGGCCAACGGCGAGGTGCCCGGCCTTTTCGAGGGCGACGAGTACACCACACTGATGACCCAATGCAAAGAGGGCGCCCAGCGCGAGGGTCTGATGCTCGACTCCAGTGATGAGCTGTACAAGTGGTTCACACAGCAGGTGATGCGCAATCTTCACGTTGTCTTCACCATGAACCCATCGACCGATGGCCTTAAGGATCGCGCGGCCACATCGCCGGCCTTGTTTAATCGCTGTGTGCTCAATTGGTTCGGTGACTGGTCGGACTCGGCCTTGTTCCAAGTGGGCAAGGAGTTCACGACGCGTGTGGATCTGGAGAAGCCCAACTGGTCGCCACCGGACTTCTTCCCCTCGGTGTGTCCATTGGTGCCCGCCAATCCGACGCATCGCGATGCCGTCATCAACAGTTGCGTCTATGTGCATCAGACCCTGCACCAGGCCAACGCCCGGCTGGCTAAACGTGGCGGACGCACCATGGCGGTGACGCCGCGTCATTATCTCGACTTTATCCATCATTTTGTCAAGCTGTACAATGAGAAGCGCAGCGATCTCGAGGAGCAGCAGCTGCACTTGAACGTGGGTCTCAACAAGATTGCGGAGACCGTGGAGCAGGTGGAAGAGATGCAAAAATCGCTGGCGGTCAAGAAGCAGGAGCTGCAGGCCAAGAACGAGGCGGCCAATGCTAAGCTGAAGCAAATGTTCCAGGATCAGCAGGAGGCCGAGAAGAAGAAGATCCAATCGCAGGAGATACAAATACGGCTAGCGGACCAAACGGTCAAGATCGAAGAGAAGCGCAAGTACGTCATGGCCGATCTGGCCCAAGTGGAGCCCGCCGTCATTGAGGCGCAACAAGGTGAGTTCTTCGGATGCCAATTGGTTCGGGCGGGTCGGGGCGCTGTAAGACTTTATCTACGTATTAGTTGAACCTAAGTTTAGCTCTAACTTTAGTTAGCTATAAACATACGTGAGTTTTTCCCGACCAACTAACTGACTGAATGGAAATTATCTAGGGTTTTGGCAAAATCCAGTCACAACATGGGACAATTGGGGAGAATCGGGTGAATGCAAACTTTTTGCTTACCTTTCGATCGATAAATGTAAATTTAATTGGGTAGACAATGGTGATCAACGGTTTTTTGTGAGAAGAAAATTTATTCGGGGCGTGTTTCAAAGGAATCCTCTAAGTCTAGCTCTAATTTTATCTATCTGTAAATTCACACAAGAGTGATAATATATTCAATACTCCCACACACACCAACATACAAACACACTTACACACACACCACGCACAATCGTTAGCCGTTAGCTCGATTAAAAAGAAACACCTGGCCGAGGTGCGTTCGATGGCAAATCCGCCGGCTGTCGTGAAACTGGCGCTGGAATCGGTCTGCGAGCTGCTCAATGAGAGTGCCACAGATTGGAAGGCCATACGCGGCATACTCGTTAAAGACAGTTTCATATCGTCGATTGTTAACTTGGAGACTGACAAGATCACGTACGCAACTCTCTTTCTATGTACCCCACATGATATATCCATAATATACCATCTGATAACTGATATATATATATATCTATATATTCATATATATCCATCATATCATCATCTGATAAGAGATATATTTATATATATATATGTCCATCATATCCCATCATTCAACATAACCTCAAATCATCTCAGGTTGTGACACTAATTGGCTAAATCGTACAGATCGCAATCATATATATACATATATATATATATATATATCTATAACATAACTAAACAGCAATATATACTAGTATATCTACACACATATACCTACACACACACACACACACTGCACACGCAATGCACTGGCAAATATCTTAACTTACGGTATATTATATACATAACCTTAAACCTTAAAGTAAATTATATCATGTGAATAGCTGTAAACTAAAGACCGATCTGTTAAGAATTCGTTGTCTAATCCTTAACAAGGTGGTGACCAGGAAACTAAAGTCAGGCAGGCAATATACCCAAACATATTTCTAATATGGGAAGTTCCAGGCAGAGCTACGCCACGATTAAAATCGAAAAATCAACAAAGTATATATAAAAACTCAAAGATAGATTTAATTTATGTCCATCTGTCCGAATGCATCGATCTTTAGATCTAGGCTCTAAATTTTCATCAATAACTTGCATTGTTTCCTAGAAATCAATTAAAATCGATATCGTGCTTATAAGAGCTAGATACTAAGCTCTCTTATACAGATCCAGATTATCCCAATTTTTGGATACCTCATCTCGGTCCCTGCGAAATTATAGAAATCGCATTTTCCCTCCGTCCGTTTAACACCTCGCTCCCAGATACTTTAAGATCGAGACTCCAAAATTTAAGATACAGTTTTATCGATGACTCACTTTGTTTCCAAGATATCGATAAAAATCGATAGAGATTTAGATTTCTCGATGCTAAGAAGAGCAAGAGACACCAAATTCTCTCTCGTATAGCTTACACGGATCCAGATTATTCTACTTTTTAGATACATCCCCATGTTCCCCCCAAATTTGTAGAAATCTCATTTTTGGGGATATATAGTCTTGACTCCGAAGTGGGTTATGGGTGTCTCCTATGCGGACACGCCCGATCGGTCTGGTCTTGTATAGGTGATGGCTTTTATAGATATATATATATAAGAACAATAACTTCTTATTCCATCTAGAATTCTTCCGTCTTATATACAAAGAAAAGGTGCCAGGAAATCCGAGAGTAAAAGTCGAATGCTTCTGTTTCCTACTTCGAAAGCCAAATCCCTTGAGTTGATTCGCATGATTGTTGGATTTTTCCATAAAAAATGCAAGCTCAAAACCCTGGAATAGCCCATATTTGAGCATTATCGTTAATAATCTTTGTTATTATAACATTGTTAGGCTAATTCTACAGAGTATAACATATAGTTAAGTGCCATTTGTTGTGTGCTATCGTTTATAATAATTCTGATCCTCCATGTTAACCAAACCGCAATCAAACAACAAACACACAGCCGTGAAGTCCATACGCAAACAGCAGCTCGTTGAGGTGCGAACGATGGCGAATCCGCCGTCCGTGGTGAAATTGGCACTCGAATCGATTTGCCTGCTGCTGGGCGAGAATGCGACCGATTGGAAATCGATACGCGCCGTGATAATGCGTGAAAATTTCATTAATTCAATTGTATCTAACTTCGGTACCGAGAACATAACGTAAGCATGAAACAGATTTATTCCTCTTTTTCTTTTCGTTCTGATTTGATATCCTCTTCTGTTTTTTTTTTATGGAGCGTAGAAATTCTCCTCTTTATTAGTTATGAGATTTTGTTCTTTCCCGTAGCGAGCTGCGTTGTCTGTAAATATTTTATTTGTTGTGTTTGCTTTTAACCGTAATCCATAATCAAAACCTGGTTGATTGGCTTTAATTTCATGTATTCTTTGGTTTTGGTTAAATTTTCGCGCTGATCCACAAATAACCAAACGCTTTGCTTGCCCAGTTCATACCAAAATAAACCGACAACACTTTAAAGGTCCCTTTATTAATCTTTAATTCCTGCCTTTCACAGCGATGAGGTCCGGGAGAAGATGAAGTCCAAGTACTTGAGCAATCCGGACTACAACTTTGAGAAGGTCAATCGCGCCAGCATGGCCTGCGGTCCCATGGTTAAATGGGCCATTGCCCAGGTAAGTTTCCACTTCAATTTCTGTTCCCGTTCAAATTCTAATTTCTCATCCATCGTAGATCGAGTACGCGGACATGTTGAAGCGCGTGGAGCCGCTGCGCGAGGAGCTGCGCTCGCTGGAGGAGCAGGCGGATGTGAATTTGCACAGCGCTAAGGAGACAAAGGATCTGGTCGAGCAGCTGGAGCGCAGCATTGCTGCCTACAAGGAGGAGTACGCACAGCTCATCTCGCAGGCGCAGGCCATTAAAACAGATCTGGAGAACGTTCAGGCCAAGGTCGATCGCTCGATCGCACTGCTCAAGAGCTTGAATATCGAACGCGAACGCTGGGAGTCCACCAGCGAGACATTCAAGTCCCAAATGTCCACGATTGTCGGCGATGTCCTGCTCTCGGCCGCCTTCATCGCCTACGGCGGCTATTTCGATCAGCATTATCGGTTAAATCTGTTCACGACCTGGTCGCAGCATCTGCAGTCGGCGAGCATACAGTATCGCGCGGACATTGCGCGCACCGAGTATCTGTCCAATCCGGACGAGCGGCTGCGTTGGCAGGCGAATGCCCTGCCCTCGGACGATCTGTGCACCGAGAATGCCATCATGCTGAAGCGCTTCAATCGTTATCCGCTAATCATTGATCCGTCGGGCCAGGCGACCACCTTCCTGTTGAACGAGTATGCGGGCAAGAAGATAACGAAGACCTCCTTCCTGGACGATTCGTTCCGCAAGAACCTCGAGTCGGCGCTGCGTTTCGGCAATCCCCTGCTCGTCCAAGATGTCGAGAACTATGATCCCATATTGAATCCCGTGCTCAATCGCGAGCTTCGTCGCACTGGCGGCCGTGTGCTGATCACGCTGGGCGACCAGGATATCGATTTGTCGCCCTCGTTCGTCATCTTCCTGTCGACACGCGACCCGACAGTTGAGTTCCCGCCGGATATTTGTTCGAGGGTCACGTTCGTTAACTTCACGGTGACGCGCAGTTCGCTGCAATCGCAGTGCCTGAACCAGGTGCTGAAGGCCGAGCGTCCGGACATTGACGAGAAACGCTCCGATCTGTTGAAGCTGCAGGGCGAGTTCCGTTTGCGTCTGCGCCAGCTGGAGAAGAGTCTGTTGCAGGCACTGAACGATGCCAAGGGCAAGATTCTGGACGACGATTCGGTTATCACAACGCTGGAGACGCTCAAGAAGGAGGCCTACGACATTAACCAGAAGGTCGACGAGACGGACAAGGTCATCGCAGAGATCGAAACCGTGTCGCAACAGTATCTGCCGCTGTCGGTGGCCTGCAGCAACATGTACTTCACGATGGACAGCTTGAATCAGGTGCACTTCCTGTACCAGTACTCGCTGAAGATGTTCCTCGACATTTTCTCGACGGTGCTGTACAATAATCCGCGGCTCGAGGGTCGCAGCGATCACTCGGAGCGTCTGGGCATCGTCACACGAGATCTGTTCCAGGTGTGCTACGAGCGCGTGGCACGCGGCATGTTGCACAACGATCGCCTGACCTTTGCGCTGCTCATGTGCAAGATTCATCTGAAGGGCACCGGAGAATCCAATCTGGATGCGGAGTTCAATTTCTTCCTGCGCAGCCGCGAGGGCCTGCTGGCGAATCCGACGCACGTCGAAGGACTCAGTGGGGAGCAAATCGAGGGCGTCAATCGTCTGGCCACACGTCTGCCCATCTTCCGCAAGCTGGTGGAGAAGGTGCGCTCCATGCCGGAGCTGGGCGCCTGGCTGCAGCAGAGCTCCCCGGAGCAGTGTGTGCCCCAGCTGTGGGACGAGTCGAAGGCGTTGAGTGCCATATCCAGCTCGGTGCATCAGCTGCTGCTCATACAGGCCTTCCGGCCGGATCGCGTTATTGCCGCCGCCCACAATGTGGTCAATACGGTGCTGGGCGTCGACTTTATGCCGAATGCAGAGCAGGAGCTGGACTTTACGGCCGTTGTGGACAAGCAGCTGAACTGCAATACGCCCGCCTTGCTCTGCTCCGTGCCCGGCTTCGATGCGTCCGGTCGTGTGGATGATCTGGCCGCCGAGCAGAACAAGCAAATCTCGAGCATTGCCATCGGCTCCGCGGAGGGCTTCAATCAGGCGGAACGCGCCATCAATATGGCCTGCAAAACAGGACGCTGGGTGCTGCTCAAAAACGTGCATCTGGCGCCGCAGTGGCTCGTGCAGCTGGAGAAGAAGATGCACTCGCTGCAGCCGCACTCCGGTTTCCGTCTGTTCCTTACTATGGAGATCAATCCCAAGGTGCCCGTCAATCTGTTGCGCGCCGGCCGCATCTTCGTCTTCGAGCCGCCGCCGGGCATCCGGGCCAATCTGTTGCGCACCTTTTCGACAGTGCCGGCAGCGCGCATGATGAAGACGCCCAGCGAGCGTGCCCGGCTCTATTTCCTGCTGGCCTGGTTCCATGCCATCGTCCAGGAGCGACTGCGCTATGTGCCCCTCGGCTGGGCCAAGAAGTACGAGTTCAATGAGTCGGATCTGCGCGTCGCCTGCGACACTCTGGACACCTGGATCGACACCACGGCCATGGGACGCACCAATTTGCCACCCGAGAAGGTGCCCTGGGATGCGCTGGTCACGCTGCTCTCGCAGTCCATTTACGGCGGCAAGATTGACAACGATTTCGATCAGCGCCTGCTGCAATCCTTCCTGAAGAAACTGTTCACGGCACGCAGCTTCGAGGCGGACTTTGCCCTGGTCGCGAACGTGGATGGCGCCTCGGGCGGCCTGCGGCACATAACCATGCCGGATGGCACACGGCGCGATCATTTCCTCAAGTGGATCGAGAACCTGACCGATCGACAAACGCCCTCCTGGCTGGGTCTGCCCAACAATGCCGAGAAGGTGCTGCTGACGACACGCGGCACGGATCTGGTGAGCAAGCTGTTGAAGATGCAGCAGTTGGAGGATGACGACGAGCTAGCCTACAGCGTCGAGGAGCAGTCCGAACAGTCGGCCCTGGCCGTAGCACGCAGCGAGGACGGCCGTCCGTCCTGGATGAAGACGCTGCACAACTCGGCCACCGCCTGGCTGGAGCTGCTCCCCAAGAATTTGCAGGTACTCAAGCGCACCGTGGAGAACATCAAGGATCCGCTGTATCGGTACTTTGAGCGCGAGGTGACCAGCGGCGCCCGCCTGCTGCAGACGGTCATCTCAGATCTGCAGGATGTGGTGCTCATCTGCCAGGGCGAGAAGAAGCAAACGAATCATCATCGTTCCATGCTCTCCGAACTGGTGCGCGGCATCATACCCAAAGGCTGGAAACGCTACACCGTGCCCGCCGGTTGCACCGTCATCCAGTGGATCACGGACTTTAGCATGCGCGTCCAGCAGCTGCAGAAGGTGTCGCAGTTGGTCTCGCAAGCGGGCGCCAAGGAGCTGCAGGGCTTCCCCGTCTGGCTGGGCGGTCTGCTCAATCCGGAGGCATACATCACCGCAACCAGGCAGTGTGTGGCCCAGGCCAATAGCTGGTCCCTGGAGGAACTCACCCTCGACGTGACCATCACGGATGCGGGTTTGAAGACCGACCAAAAGGACAGCAGCTTTGGTGTCACCGGCCTGAAGCTGCAGGGCGCCCAGTGCAAGAACAACGAGCTGCTGCTGGCGTCCACCATCATGATGGATCTGCCCCTCACCATACTCAAGTGGGCCAAGTGAGTATTCATTTTCCCCAGCTCGAACTCTGCCTTGACTCATGTCTAATCCTTTACAGAATCTCATCGGAGCCACGGGTAAGCAAACTAACTTTGCCCGTTTACTTGAATTCGACGCGCACCGAACTGCTCTTCACCGTCGATTTGGCTGTGGCCGCTGGCCAAGATTCGCACAGCTTCTATGAGCGCGGCGTCGCCGTTCTGACGTCCACGGCCCTCAATTAAAATATCCGTATTCCACATATAAACAACATTCAAAACTTAAATAATCGTATAATCCATAGACAGTTTTGAAAACTTCCCCCAATCCCAAAATAATAAATATATATGTATACACACAACTAACAACCCCAACCAGTAGAGCAATCCTGTCCAGAAATTCCAGCATGTTGAGCAAATGCGGTCGCCAGCTGTTGCGTGCGAGCTCCGCCTGGCGGCTGCGTTGCCTGCGGCAACTGGGAGGCGTTCGCATGCCCCAGGAGTCTCCCGTCGAGGTGACGCATACCTCGCTCGTGATTGAGGCCGAGGCGCGACGCTTCATACATGACTGCCTGCGTCGGGTGGGCGTGCCCTTCGAGAAGCTGCGTTCCATTAGCGACTTTCTGCTCGCGGCGGATTACCGGGGTGTGCACGGCTCGGGCATCAATCGGCTGGAAATGTACCTGAGGGATCTGCAACAGGGCTATGTGGACATCACGGCGGATCCGGAGATAATCAGCGAAACGCCGGTCACAGCGCATGTGGATGGCAACTGCGCCATGGGCGTCTTTGTGGGCAACTATTGCATGGATCTGGCCGTGGAGAAGGCGCGCAAATCGGGCATCGGTTTCGTGGTGGCCAAGCGTTCGCATCACATCGGCATGGCCGCTTGGTATGCGTTCCGGGCCATGGCCAAGGGCTATATTAGCCTGGTTTTGTCGAATGCTGCGCCCATGTTGATGGCGCCGGGCGCCCAGGTCGCCAGCCTCGGAGCCAATTGCCTGGCCTTTGGCGCCGATGCAACCCATTCGCATTTCATGCTGGACATGGCCGTCACGATGAAGGAGATCGGCGCTGTGGAGTGGGCGTACATGAAGAACGAGTTTATACCGAAAACTTGGGCGGCGGATGAGTCCGGGCTGCCCACCTGCTTCCCTAGCCAGGCGCTGCGCGCCCAGCGCCTGTATCCGGCAGGCGGCAACAAGGGCTACTGCCTGGCGGCCATGATTGATGTGCTGTGCGGCGTCATGTCCGGCGCTAACTATGCGACGCGTGTGCCGCGCTGGTGGTCGGAGTGCCAGGTCGGCTGCAATCCCAATCTGGGCCTGGTCATGCTCGCCCTGGATCCGTGCGTCTTTGTGCCAGACTTTCACGAACGTCTCGACGACTTTCGACGCTGCATCGAGACCTCCAGCCCCTTGGACGAGGCCATGCCCGTCCGTATGGCCGGCCAGCCGGAGAAGCAGCACATGTACTACGTGGACGACCTCGGTGCGCTGCCCTTCCCCAACGTTCTGCTGGCCAAGTTCAAACGGATCGCGGATCTCCTGTGCGTCAAGCCTATGGAGTTGGCCTTCGCCTCCAGTAACACACAATATCACTGCATGTAGATGGCACATTACGAGTACATGTAAAAAAAAACTGGCGCCAGCTAGCGCAGCTTGTGGCAACTTTTGGTTGCACGTCCAGGTGGCGCCACAACGTATTCGCCCCCAAATTCACAGCGTCATCTATTGAGTTTATTTTTGATTATGCACCCAAGGACAATAATGGGAGTATTAAATACGTGTAACAGTTGTATAATGGCGGCGCCACAAGGAATTCGCCGCCAAATTCACAGCGTCATCTATATAGCTATCTTGTTATGCAACCAAAGGAAAATAATGGGAGTAGCGTAAATACGTGTAACAATTGTATAAAGGGATTTAAGAAAACGTGTCTGGATTCAATAATAGGTACAACTTGTGGTTAGGACAACTCGTTAACGGATGGCGCTGTTAAATATTACCAACAAGTGTTGACAAATTCCTGAATAGATATAACAAGCATTTAAACAACACTGCATATTTATGTTGAAATTTAAAAATTTAATTTATATAATTGCAAATTATTCTCATGCCTTGAGCTTCTTGCCAGGCGTTGTTGCATGTTAATGTAATAAATAATTTTAAGTTTATGTTCGGCGAACTGTGCCCAAAACTAACTACCTATATATATATATATATATATATATAAATATAAATATATATATATAAATATAAATATATATATATATATAAATATAAATATATATATATATATATATAAATATAAATATATATATATATAAATATAAATATATATATATATATATATAAATATAAATATATATATATATATATAAATATATATATATATAAATATATATATATATATATATATATATAATCAGTATTGATTCTATGTAGATAAGTCTATCTGTCTGTATGCAAACGAATCAGTATTTTTCTGGGTCTTGTTAATCCAAGACAAGCGTATTTCCGTTTTCCGATTGTGCTTGAAAATTTAATTGAGTAGAGCGAATTTGTAATACCCTAACTTTTTTGATAGATAGGGTTATTTTATTGCTCAATTAAGCTTAATTATTCTTCTAAGTAGATATAGATATAGATATAGATATAGATATAGATATAGATATAGATATAGATATAGATATAGATATAGATATAGATATAGATATAGATATAGATATAGATATAGATATAGATATAGATACAGATATAGATATAGATATAGATATAGATATAGATATAGATATAGATATAGATATAGATATAGATATAGATATAGATATAGATATAGATATAGATATAGATATAGATATAGATATAGATATAGATATAGATATAGATATAGATATAGACTTAGAAATATAGATACAGATATAGATATAGATATAGACTTAGAAATATAGATACAGATATAAAAGTTATATGTATACTGAACTAAAAGTAAGGTTGCTGGTTCTAATCCCAGTCTCGTGTATAAATGCAGACACCAGCTGAAGATCTGAACCCTTAATCTTGCTTTTGTTTAAGTAATTGCCATATAACTATATGCTGATATCTTATAAATATATTAAGTAAATGATAATAGTTGTGGGAAAAGCAAGAAATGGAGAGTGCCAGCAAAAGCGAGCATATGCCACATGTATTTCGGCTCAGCTGGGTTCCCATCTGGTTTTCTGAACTACTTAAGGTAATTGCTGCAAAGAAAAAATGCAAATTTTCTCAAATTGCGCGAATTATGCAGCTGCTGAAGGGAGCCTATAAATAGGCTCAAGCAGCGCGCGAGGGAGTCTATAGTCGGATGTCATGTCGCGCTCGCTCATTTGGATATTCCCATGGACCTGGCTGCTGCTGATCCTCACGCTGGAGGCGCACTCGGAGAGCCAGACCCTGGACGAGTTCCGGCAGCGGTATCTGCAGCCCCTGCTCTCGGCGGGCACGCGCAACTGCACGCTGAATGCGTGCGAGACACTGCGGATCATTACGCAGCTGCTGATGCTGATCAAGGCGCTGCCCAATGGAACGCTCAGCACACTGATGGCTGCGGCGCCTGTGGAGACAGCCAAACGCAGGACGAGCGCCGGCAGGGAACCAGCCGGAGAAGTTGGCGCCATGTTTAATCCGGCCGAGTTCGATAAGCGCGTGCGGCAGATCGAGAGCCGGCTGCGCTCCGTGGAGCAGCCCGTTTGGCATTTGGCCAGCGGCAGCGAGCTCGAGTGGAACCATTGCACGTCCGGTGTCTGTCGCTGCAATCCGGACACCAAGAGCTTCACCTGTTGGAACACGAACCTCAAGACCGTGCCCGTCAGCCAGGTGATACCCATGAATATGGTTGCGATCGATCTCTCCCGCAACGTGCTCTCCACGCTGCACAAGGACACGTTCCGTGGGCTGACGCTGCTCAAGGAGCTGGACATATCGAACAATCTGCTCGACTTTCTGCCCTTCGATCTGTTCCGGGATCTGGACAGTCTGCTGCAGCTGTGAGTATAAAGCCCCCATCCATTTGAGATTTATTCCAAGAGAGTCTCCCTCTCCCTTTGCAGTCGCATCCAGAACAATCAGCTGGAGGACATTGATGCGCGCACCTTCTGGAAGCTGCGCAATCTGAATCTGCTCGATCTGCACAAGAACGAGATTTCGCTGCTGCCCGAATCGCTTTTCTATCATGCCCAACGCTTGACTGTGATCAATTTGTGCGACAATCAGATCAAGAACTTTCCGCCCAACCTGCTGCGCGATCAGCTGATGCTCGAGGAGCTGGACATGTCGCGCAACCGGATCGAGCAGCTCGTCTCGGGCAGCATGCGATACCAGACCAAGCTCGAGGCCCTTGACTTTGGCTGGAATCAAATTGGTAAGGCTTTAGATCCTTTTTATTGATCTCAATTTAAATAATCTGAAACTCCTTTTAGCCAAGATCGAAGACGACTTCTTTGAGGGCCTGAAGAGTCTGCGCACCTTGAATCTGTACAACAATCGCATTAGCTCCATATCGGCCACGACATTCAATAATCTCGTCAACCTGATCACCCTGGACCTCACCATGAATCGCATCAGCCACGTGAGTTGCCTTCTAGGGTATCTTGGACTTGGTTAACATGAACTCAACTCGTTTCTCTCCTTGCAGATCGATGGACAAGCCTTTGCGGAGCTGAAAAACCTAAATGAGCTGCTGCTCGGCCAGAACTCCTTGTCCAGCATACCGGGTGATCTGTTCCTGCGGGTCGGCGCACTCACCCGGCTGACGCTCTTCTCGAACAACCTGACCACGCTGGAGGCCAACGACTTTAAGGGCCTCGACAGCCTCAAAATCCTGATGCTCAACAACAACATACTCAAGCACTTCGATGCGCGCGCCTTCGAGCCGCTCACCCAGCTGGAGAAACTGTGAGTTGAAGAAACTTTCCCCAAGCCAAAGGAAGCTCATCCTACTTTTGCCTACTTTCTTCCTACTTTTCCCCATTAGCCGCATCGACTCCAACAAGCTGATGTATCTGCCGCATGGCGCTTTGCACGGTCTGAACCAACTGGTCGCCGTCAAGCTGGACAAGAATCCTTGGCACTGCGACTGCCGGGCTTTGTATTTGGCGCGCTGGATTCGGGAATTTGTTGTGAAGCTCTGGGATGGCCAGCAGCCGATGTGCCGCGGCCCCGGAGATCTGGGCGGGCACGAGGTGGGCCTGCTGCGATATGACGATCTCTGCGATGGCCAATGGGCGAGCATGTTGTCGCTGTCGCCGCGGCTTCCGGTGCGCACACATCGCATTTCCACACCGATGAACTATACCGACTATTTCAATTTGTACTTGAAGCATATCTATAATTCCACCACGGACGAGCAGCTCAAGGAGGCGGAGATAACCAGCGTGGCCATTAAGAAGGTTCACGTCGATTAAATGCGCCCGACAAATAACTGCAAAAGTAAAGAAATCCTCAAGTTAGTTAGTTATTCGACAGGGCATCCGTTTAATGCCAGGGCTGCAATACGATTCGAACCAGCTTTCTGCTTTGAAATTTCAATTTTCACACATTCTTAAAGCCAGGTTTTGCTAACTGTTCACAGCTTTCTTTTTAGAAATTCCAATTTCCCAAGTCTTAAAGCCAGGTTTGGCTCGAAGCTGTTCGGCTTAAACCCAGTCTTGCAGCCCTGTTTAATACCCTCCGTTTCCATCAGATATGAATATATATTATATTCCTGTTCAATATCAATATTTGATTTATATGGCCATGTCCGATACTCTGTCTGCTGTGTTCTTGCAAACGATTTACTTAGCTTTAAACCTATCTAGAAAATACTCTACATAGATTTCTTTTATTTTTGCAGTTGCAGTCATAAAACCTAGAATTGGAATTGTTAAAAGAAACTTTGGTGTTTTGAAAACTTTTTTATGCTGCAAAAATTAAAACCAACATCTCATCTACATCGGATCACCATATCATGCATCATCCATAACCCATAGGAAATATATCAAAAACTGTTTTTTATTTATCTCAACAAAATCCACCAATTCGACAAACTTCGCATATAACTCATCAAATTGAACAACTACATCTATTCATTGTACTCCATCAGGAATAATCCGGCTGGAGGTTGGAAAATTTGAGTTATTTGTGTAAGTATCGAACATTTTTGCACCATGAAATACGGTATATTGTGGGAGAGTATATATATATATATATTTTTTGTAGCATCTCGATGTCTAAATAGCTTTTAAGGCTTTGTGTTTTACACGTGTCAAGGGCAAAGCCGGGGCTTACCCGCTATCCTATATAGAATCAGGTCGAAATATTCCACACACCATAACTCGTTCAAAACTCAACCGATGTTCACGAGGATTGGCTTTTTGTCCATGGTTTTTCCTCTAGATTAATCTGGCATTCAAATCTGAACACCGATTTTTTAGTCGGAATTCATGTCCAAATCTTACCCCAAGATTCGTATATAGACATGGGTCAAAATGTCCCACCCCCATAACTCGGTCAAAACTCAACCGATTTTCATGGAGTTTGGCTTTTTCTTCATGGTTTTCCCTCTAGATTAATCTGGCCTTCAAATCTGAACACCGATTTTTTAGTCGGAATTCATGTCCAAATCTTACCCCAAGATTCGTATATAGACATGGGTCAAAATTTCCCACCCCCATAACTCGTTCAAAACTCAACCGATTTTCATGAAGTTTGGCTTTTTCTTCATAGTTTTGCCTCTAGATTAATCTGGCATTCAAATCTGAACACCGATTTTTTAGTCGGAATTCATGTCCAAATCTTACCCCAAGATTCGTATATAGACATGGGTCAAAATTTCCCACCCCCATAACTCGGTCAAAACTCAACCGATTTTCATGAAGTTTGGCTTTTTCTTCATAGTTTTCCCCCTAGATTAATCTGGCATTCAAATCTGAACACCGATTTTTTAGTCGGAATTCATGTCCAAATCTTACCCCAAGATTCGTGTATAGACATGGGTCTAAATTTCCCACCCCCATAACTCGGTCAAAACTCAACCGATTTTCATGAAGTTTGGCTTTTTCTTCATAGTTTTCCCCCTAGATTAATCTGGCATTCAAATCTGAACACCGATTTTTTAGTCGGAATTCATGTCCAAATCTTACCCCAAGATTCGTATATAGACATGGGTCAAAATTTCCCACCCCCATAACTCGTTCAAAACTCAACCGATTTTCATGAAGTTTGGCTTTTTCTTCATAGTTTTCCCTCTAGATTAATCTGGCATTCAAATCTGAACACCGATTTTTTAGTCGGAATTCATGTCCAAATCTTACCCCAAGATTCGTATATAGACATGGGTCAAAATTTCCCACCCCCATAACTCGTTCAAAACTCAACCGATTTTCATGAAGTTTGGCTTTTTCTTCATAGTTTTCCCTCTAGATTAATCTGGCATTCAAATCTGAACACCGATTTTTTAGTCGGAATTCATGTCCAAATCTTACCCCAAGATTCGTATATAGACATGGGTCAAAATTTCCCACCCCCCATAACTCGGTCAAAACTCAACCGATTTTCACGAGAATTGGCTTTTTGTTCATGGTTTTTCCTCTTAAATAATCTGGCATTCAAATCTGACCACACATTTTTTGGTCGAAATTCATGTCAAAATCTTACCCCAAGATTCGTATATGGACATGGGTCAAAATTTCCCACCCCCATAACTCGGTCAAAACTCAACCGATTTTCATGAAGTTTGGCTTTTTCTTCATGGTTTTCCCTCTAGATTAATCTGGCATTCATATCTGAACACCGATTTTTTAGTCGGAATTCATGTCCAAATCTTACCCCAAGATTCGTATATAGACATGGGTCAAAATTTCCCACCCCCATAACTCGTTCAAAACTCAACCGATTTTCATGAAGTTTGGCTTTTTCTTCATAGTTTTCCCTCTAGATTAATCTGGCATTCAAATCTGAACACCGATTTTTTAGTCGGAATTCATGTCCAAATCTTACCCCAAGATTCGTATATAGACATGGGTCAAAATGTCCCACCCCCATAACTCGGTCAAAACTCAACCGATTTTCATGAAGTTTGGCTTTTTCTTCATAGTTTTCCCTCTAGATTAATCTGGCGTTCAAATCTGAACACCGATTTTTTAGTCGGAATTCATGTCCAAATTTTACCCCAAGATTCGTGTATAAACATGGGTCTAAATTTCCCACCCCCATAACTCGGTAAAAACTCAACCGATTTTCATGAAGTTTGGCTTTTTCTTCATAGTTTTCCCTCTAGATTAATCTGGCATTCAAATCTGAACACCGATTTTTTAGTCGGAATTCATGTCCAAATCTTACCCCAAGATTCGTATATAGACATGGGTCTAAATTTCCCACCCCCATAACTCGGTCAAAACTCAACCGATTTTCATGAAGTTTGGCTTTTTCTTCATAGTTTTCCCCCTAGATTAATCTGGCATTCAAATCTGAACACCGATTTTTTAGTCGGAATTCATGTCCAAATCTTACCCCAAGATTCGTATATAGACATGGGTCAAAATGTCCCACCCCCATAACTCGGTCAAAACTCAACCGATTTTCATGAAGTTTGGCTTTTTCTTCATAGTTTTCCCTCTAGATTAATCTGGCATTCAAATCTGAACACCGGTTTTTTAGTCGGAATTCATGTCCAAATCTTACCCTAAGATTCGTGTATAGACATGGGTCTAAATTTCCCACCCCCATAACTCGGTCAAAACTCAACCGATTTTCATGAAGTTTGGCTTTTTCTTCATAGTTTTCCCCCTAGATTAATCTGGCATTCAAATCTGAACACCGATTTTTTAGTCGGAATTCATGTCCAAATCTTACCCCAAGATTCGTATATAGACATGGGTCAAAATTTCCCACCCCCATAACTCGTTCAAAACTCAACCGATTTTCATGAAGTTTGGCTTTTTCTTCATAGTTTTCCCTCTAGATTAATCTGGCATTCAAATCTGAACACCGATTTTTTAGTCGGAATTCATGTCCAAAACTTACCCCAAGATTCGTATATAGACATGGGTCAAAATTTCCCACCCCCATAACTCGTTCAAAACTCAACCGATTTTCATGAAGTTTGGCTTTTTCTTCATAGTTTTGCCTCTAGATTAATCTGGCATTCAAATCTGAACACCGATTTTTTAGTCGGAATTCATGTCCAAATCTTACCCCAAGATTCGTATATAGACATGGGTCAAAATTTCCCACCCCCATAACTCGGTCAAAACTCAACCGATTTTCATGAAGTTTAGCTTTTTCTTCATAGTTTTCCCTCTAGATTAATCTGGCATTCAAATCTGAACACCGATTTTTTAGTCGAAATTCATGTCCAAATCTTACCCCAAGATTCGTATGTAGACATGGGTCAAAATTTCCCACCCCCATAACTCGGTCAAAACTCAACCGATTTTCATGAAGTTTAGCTTTTTCTTCATAGTTTTCCCTCTAGATTAATCTGGCATTCAAATCTGAACACCGATTTTTTAGTCGGAATTCATGTCCAAATCTTACCCCAAGATTCGTATATAGACATGGGTCTAAATTTCCCACCCCCATAACTTTTGGCTTTTTGTTCATGGTTTTTCCTCTTAAATAATCTGGCATTCAAATCTGACCACACATTTTTTGGTCGAAATTCATGTCAAAATCTTAGCCCTCGGATTCGTATATATACATGGGTCAAAATTTACCATTTATTCGAATTTCCACATACACCCAAGTTCCCAACCCTATTCTCTTTGTGCGTAACCTCGTATTCAAGGGTATCTCAGTTCTCGACTGTCTGAAGTTAGCTCTAGTCTGGTTCCTTGTATCCATCCCCTACCTACATATATATATATATGTATATATGCACATGGATATGGTTAATTCTCGCAGACATAACTGTAACCAGGCCTGGTAACTGCTTTGGCTGCCTCTTAAATTTGAGCACTAATTGTTGTTGTTTTCCCTGTCGGCTGCCACTTTCTGCCCGCCTTTCTATTAATTCTCGACCGCATGAGCAAATACCTTTATGGATACCTGAATGTGCTTCAAAGGAACTGCATTCACTTCGCATGATACGGACGAACCACGTCCACAGTTCCCAGTTCCCGCTCCCTTCCCATTCCCGCTTCGTGCACAAATTACTGTCGTGTCTCGCGTGCTGGGTTTTTTTTTTGCCCATGTGTCTACGTCTAGGACAAGCTTTTTACCTAACCAATTTATTGCTTCCGCTGTTGCAGCTGCCCCTGCCCCACAATCTTCCACTGCCCCTCTCCCCAGCAGGTAAGTGTCTTCCTAGGTTTCACCTGGCTCGATGCTAGTTTTTGCCCGTTGTCCTTGCAATTTCCATGTGTTGACATTGCCCGCGCTCTTTATTTTCCCATTTTTGCCCATTCACTTTCCCCGCTTTTCTCCGTGCTAGGATCCAACCCCTCGCCCTCGCCGTGCCGCGACCGTTTCCTGTAGCCAGTTTCGTGTGCTTGTCGCCGTCTATCGCTATCCCTTCCGATGTGGGCGTGACTGTGGAGGCGGTCGCATGCAGACAACAAATGCATTTTATGCTAAATTTGCAAGGCAAATATTAAAAATTGAATGCCGCTATTGTTGTTGAGCCGCGCTCGTTGTTGCTGCCTTTAAAATACCCTGTACACATTACAAGTGTGGGGTATATTGTTTGGGTGCAAATATCCGAAAGAGCGAGGGACTACACTCGGAAATATTTCCTAAAATTCAGATAACTTTTGTAAACTTTGGATAATATTTTATGAAAAGTAGAAAATATTGTGTGATAGTAGAGATTATTTTCTGTTAAAACAAAAAAACCTTTTATAATGAAGAAATGCCCAAACTAACTTACCTAACTTTGACTTTAAAAGCAACTCAAAGATTATAAGAGTCGTAAAGTTGAGCAGAGATTGATTATAAGAGATTATAAGAGCTCCTTTGACTCTTGTATAATACAGGGGTTGATTATAAGAGTTTAGAAGTGATGTAA